CGATCAACCTACTAGCCATGGCCTCCAACCTACTAGCGATGGCCTCCAACCTAATTACAGTCTTCCAAGCTTTGCCCCGCGCCAGCATATCTTTTCAGGGCTGGGCGCAGAACATCTGCCCACCACCTTCCAACTCAGAGGAGGCAGACGATCAGGAGCTGTGTGGTGTGTGACTGAGTGGGACGGGGAGATGGCAAGAGGTCAATCCTTTCTAATCACTTCAGGTGATTGTTGAGCCAGTCACCACTCATCCAATTACGTTCCAGCACATAACCTAGTTGCAGTTGCGCTGGTGAGTGTTCAACCTGGGGGCTAAAAGCCAAGCCTATTGAGGGGATTCTTCAAGGGCCCAGCATTTTTGTCTTAGGGTTCCTTTCTGGCTCAACAGTTTACTGTCATGAACATTTACTCTTCACTCCCTGCTGAAACACCCAGGAAACAGAAACAACCTATAATGATAGTCATGCTCGGAATTGAAATCAGCCCGAGATGAAGCCACGGACCACAACACACTTTTAGGTTCTTCCAGCCCCCTTATTGTCCTACAATCCGTGGCCCAGCTTGCCCAAGCGCTTCGGGGCATTGACTGAAGGACCTGGAGGAGGAGTATCTGGTCTCCGACTGATGCCATCCGTTCAAAAGTCCCAGCAGCTTGTGGTGTGATCGTGTGCTGTTTGCTCGTCACCAGGGACCTTGGAGCACCGAGCCCGGTGCGCTGAGCTTCTGGGTGACCTCACATAACCTGAAGCTTGAGATGTGAAGCCCGGGAAGGTGATGGGAATCCAGGAGGCAACAGGCAAAGGATGAAGCTGGAAGTTTGACAAGGCCCCCCAAAGCTTTTTGTCTTTCCTGCTGTGTCCTCTTCATGGTGAAAACCAGTGAAAACTATCGGGAGAATGGTATGGTGTGTCTCTGGCTTGGCTCAGGTCTGCCGAAAAAGCCTGGGAGCGCCGCTGGTATCTGAGAGGTCCAGGCCGATTGGGAGGAAACGGTGTTGACATATGATTGGGGACCACGTAGATAGATAGCTGGACCTACTACACATATTGAAGACCCACTACACATACTTGGTTCCTTTGTTTTTGTCCGGATTGGTTTCGAGGCGCCACCACGCCTATCAGGCCTACAGGTGTCACCATGGCCAGCCATCACCATCACCTCCTTGATGCTTCACCCGGTCAGAGGGTTTTCAGGCCAGGTTGGGCCATTGATACAGCTTGAGCCAAGCTGTGGCTTAGGGACACCCAAGACACCTCCATAGAACTTGTAAAGTGGCTTGAGTATGCATTGGGTGTCCCTACACTCCTAGACTTAGATGACGGGGACTTAGGTGCTGGTCCCGATGTGGGGAAGCTGCAATACATTCCAGCTTCGCAATCCATTTTTTGTTTTGTTTTCGAATACTTAAGGTTCTCTAAAAAATCCAGGAACCAAAGGAATAGTGTGAGGTAATCTGCGTCCAGTAGGTAGTAGCTTAAGTAAGGTACTAGCTACATCTCCCTTAATTAATGAAGCGCTTTAACCTCGACATTCGCCATGTTTTTGTCTTCCGAGCTTCGATGAATTTGCCGTCATCGGCTCACACAAATAGTCTCGAGACACTCTGCGAAACACTTCATGCCTGCAGGTGGTTGACTGGACTCATGTGAGTGGATCGCACAAGGACTCGGGTTGCTATGTCAATGGGATGAAAGAGACCTGGTTTCTTGTTTCATTCTTTCTTTTGGAAGATGAGAGTTGCTCTGTGGGGATGTCTTGTGGCCCCCAACCTTCCAAAAAGATAATGGTAGTTATATACGTGTACATTCAATTACATTCATGCATATTATGCTATAAATATATATATATATACATTAGGCGAATCCAAGACCCTACAAACCCTAGATCTCTGTAGACCCCAACAATCACACGTCAGAAATCCCGGCCGTCAGAAACCCCAAGTTTAAGAGACACCAAGCCGAGTTAAGAGACACCAAGTTGAAGAATTTCAGAAATTCAGAAATTGTTAATTTCCGAATTTACGTAAAGAAGTAACGTTTTTCAGTAATGCAGAAACTGTTAATTTCCGAATTTCCGCCAAACTATGTAAAAAAGTGAAGTTTTTCAGACATTCGGAAATTGTTAATTTCCGAATTTCCGCCAAACTATACATAAAAGTAAAGTTTTTCAGAAATTCGGAAATTGTTAATTTCCGAATTTCCGCCAAACGATGTAAAAAAGTACAGTTTTTCAGAAATTCGGAAACTGTTAATTTCCGAATTTCCGCCAAACTATACATAAAAGTAAGGTTTTTCAGAAATTCGGAAATTGTTAATTTCTGAATTTCCGCCAATCGATGTAAAAAAGTAAAGTTTTTCAGAAATTCGGAAATTGTAAATTTCCGAATTTCCACCAAACTATGTAAAGAAGTAAAGTTTTTCAGAAATTCGGAAATTAACACGATATAGCAATTCAGAAATAGTTCATTTCGGAGTTTCCGATAAACGATGTAAGAAGTACAGGTTTTCATACCTTCCGAAATTGCTCATTTCCAATTTTTTGCCAAACCAGACATTGCGCAGGCAGCGTCCGGTTGCCAGCCAGAAGTGGAACGTTTGTACTTGCATTGTAAAATTTGCCATCTAGCCTCTTTTTCTCTCATCTCGGCGCACCCACTGAACGCATGGCACGCCCGCCGAACACATGGCTCTTCAAGTGGAACACCATCAGACCAGCAGATTTGGGGAGTGGCTGGTCGTGCTGGATGATGGGCAGCTTCTCTTTCGCCAGGGCAAGATGCGTTTGTTGGCTCCACCTCCGGCAGCGCCCCCAACAGCGCCAGGACAAGATGACCAGTCGGGTGACCGCGATGGGTGTGTTTATTGGGTCCTTTCGAAGCATTGTTCGAATCAGGGTGCTTTAGGCAAAAGTGGCCTGACTAGCAAGAGCCTTACAGGCATTCCGGCTGTCAGGCAGAATCCAGCTCTTTGCCAGACTCCGTCACGGCAAAGACCCGCGTGCTCTTGGCGGCTGACAGCCAGCCACCTCGAAGAGCATTGCAACCCGAAGCCAAAGGTATCCTGCATGGGCACGCGCTCCGGTTTTCACTTTCGAGGCCAAGCAACCAAACAGATCTTGAGCCGCTTGAATCTGTAAGATTTAAGGCTTCTGACTGAGTGTTGAACTTGTTGAGCGCGCTCAGGGCATGGAGCGCGCGCAGGGCAAGTCGATCTTCAGCAGCCTCAGCCTCAAGCGTAGTATCGTCTAGTTTTGTATGGCTGCTGAATCCGGCTGACAGCCAGCTCATGCCGCCCAAATACCAAAAGGAAAGACCTTCATTCGGGCAAAAGCGGCTGGGCAACGCACAACCAAAAAAGGTCACAACGTAGAAAAACATTGCGCGACGTTGCCCTGCGCCATCATCGCTTTGTGGTTGGGCGCCTGCCGCCGATCAAGCCACTCCTGCGCATCAATGGCAAGCAGTCCGCGCTCATGGCCTGTAGGAAACTGTCCAAGGTGATGGTAGACAGTGAAGCGCAGACCGACGCCAATGGCACTGAGAGTCAGCTGAGCGAGCTGGCCAGTCAGCTGCAGCGCGAGAAGGCAGCCAACGTGGAGCTCTTGCAGCTGCTGCTGAAGGATGAGCCGAGCCATTTGTGGTCTGTGTGCTCTCCCGCTGCCAGCGAGATGAGGATGCCACCAGAGCACCAGCAAAGACAATGAATGCTGCGTCGAGTGAAAAAGAAGCTTCATTCGTGCTTCACGCTGTTGAGCCCACTGAGCCACGTCGCGCGCTCCTCTACCGGAGCGCGCTCTTGTGACAGGGTGTGCATTTCTAAGGAAACCATTGCGCAGTGGAGCGCGCTCTTGTGCGCAATGGTTTTCCATGAGATCGCTGACGGAGTCTATACGTTCCCGCGCGCTTGTGCGCAATGTTTTCTATGCGTCTATGAGATTATACTGACCGGGGCGCGTATCTCTATGAAACCATTGCGCACGTAAGAGCGCGCTCCGCTGCCGGAGCGCGCTCTTGCGCGCAATGATTTCCTTAGAAATGCAGACCCCCGTCATGAATCTCATGGACCTGGAACATTGCGCACAAGAGCATGCTCCGGCAGCGGAGCGCGCTCTTGCAATGGTTTCCTTAGAAGTGGACGCCCCTGTCACAAATCTCATAGAACACCATAGCACACCAGCGCGCTTGTGCGCAATGGTTTTCTGAGAAACGTACACCCCACTCAGCGATCTCATAGAGAACCATTGTTGCGCGCAAGAGAACGCACACCCCGTCATGAATCGCATAGAACACCATTGCAGACACCTGTCATGAATCTCACAGAACACCATTGCACACAAGAGCGCGCTCCGCTGCCGGAGCGCGCTTTTGTGCGCTATGGTGTTCTATGATGAGATTCATGACAGGGGTGTCCACTTCTAAAGAATGCACACAAGAGCGCCGCCTTGCGCGCAATGCTTTTGTTAGTAACACGCACCCCGGTCAGCAAACGATAGAAAACCATTGCGCACAAGAGCGCGCTCCGCTGCCGGAGCGCGCTCTTGCGTGCAATGGTTTTCTTCAATACGCAAGCCCCAGTCAGCAAGCTCATACAAAAAAAACGCTCAAGAGTCAGCGACGTGACTCAGTGATTCACATTACATGTTTGCTTCCCATGATTTTTTGGCTCTCAGTGCGGCTGCCAGCCACGAGCAGCTCGTTGAACAAGGACCGATCATTCCGGGGGGCTGACGGAATGTCAGGTGAAGACGACCTGCTTGCCATGGAAGCCGTTGTCCGAGCTGTTGAGCGCGCGCAAGCAGTGCCAAGCCACAGGCGCTCAGCTGCGTTCTTGCAGTTGACCAGGATGGCCAAAGCAGCAAAGAAGCAAGGCCAGATGCGAGAAAAGGCTTCCGAAAGGATTTCGCGCTTGATCTTGCGGCACAATGCCGAGTTCGCAAAGACTGACAGTGATGTCATAGATTTAGCAGCCAAGGGGTACAAGTCTAACGGCAAGGGAAAGCACAAAGTTTGGTTGCCTGGGGCTTTGCAGCGGGCCTGTTGGGGGCACAGGCAGAACAAACTGCAGGTTTCTGTGAAAGAAGTGTCCGGCTGCCAGCCAGAAGCGCAAGAGAAGCGTTGTTGCCCAGCCAACTGTGTCTAGTTGCAGAGAATGGGCTCGTCATTTGAAGGCTAGCGCCACACACATCGGCCGTGTCCAGCGCGCTGTCAGCGAGAGATCAGTGCCCCCATTCAGGCCAGATGGCTGCGCAGCCCTTCACATGGCTTGCGGCACAGCCTCACAGCCAGGGACGCGCGTGGAGCAACCCCCCTGTTGAGAGCTGCAGGCAGCAACCAGGCACCTGTTGTGCGGTTGTTGCTTCAATTGAGAGAGCTGACCCACATGAGGTGCATGCGACAACAAGAAGGAACGCCTTCGACATGGCCAACGCTGCTGTCCGCGACATCCTGCGAGATTATGGCGCAAGGGCAACCGGCTCAACAGGACCTTCCAGCTGCGCTGCTTTCCCAAACCGCAGCCGTGACTCCGTACAGGACAGGCCTGGAGGCGCGAGCGACAGTCGACGGCAGCGGTCTGCAGCTTGGCCCAAGCGTTGAAGCCAGCCAGCGCAGCTGTTGCGGCTGCTTTGCTCGGAGCTTTTTTCGGCTGTCAGCCGTTTTGAACGCACTGACTTGTGCTTGGAGTGAAAAAGAGCTGCTGTTGCGTTCCAGTGTGGCAGTGTGGGGACAGGCCGGGGGCTTGTCCGAATTTCCGCCAATCATAGGTTAAGAAGCACCGACTTTCCGCCAAACCTATGATTTTGTAGGTCGAATTTCCGCCAAATCTATGATTTTATAGGTTAACAAGCACCCCGCGCCGCACCCCGCGCCGCTTAACTGAGTTTTAGCAGCACCCCGCGCCGCTTAACTGAGTTTTAGCAGCACCCCGACTTTCCGCCTTTCCGCCGAACCGACTTTCCGCCTTTCCGCCGAACCGACTTTCCGCCGACTTTCCGCTTTCCGACTTTCCGCCGAACCTGAAACGATATCATCCAATTAAACCGTTTTCTGCTGCGGCAGGCTCCGATCTGAAGAAAAACTAGGAAATCTAGCTTGGTTGTGCGGCTGGCAGCCAGTGATATGGGTTCGCCAGCAGACGCGGTATGCCTCCCAGAGCTGCTTGGCTTACTCAGCCCGCCATAGGCGTTGTTCGGTAGCATAGCGCGCCATGCCGCCCAAGAAAAGGCCAGCAGCGTCCTGCACTCAAAGCAAACGCGCGAGGAAAAGGGAATAGGAGGTTTGTAAAGGCAACTTGGTCAACCTTGCATTAGTTTATGAAAGGGAGGAAGCCTTGCTGCGCAGAGGCATCTGGGACTGTTCATTCCATAAGTCGCTGCGGAGCAGGGCCGAAGACTTGAGAAAATACGCTGGGCTGATGGAGGAGGTGGCAAAGCTGGAGCAAGCCAGCCGCAATGTCCAGGTTCCTGAAGAGCATGCAGCAAACACAAGATCGCTCCTGGCCAATCACTGTGAGCCAGGCGATCACTGCATTTTTGGAGCATCGTCGGCGCGCAGAGGCAACTCCCGAGATGTATCGGCAGCAGGCTGCGACTCTCCAAGCTGCTGTGTCTTCTCTCCTCGACGGCCTTGCTGAGGGGCTGGCCGGCTGTCAGCCCGAGGCCTTCGCAGAAAAAGTCAAGACGTTGCGGGAGCTCAAACACGTGACCATGCAGGTGTGCGCCTTGTCTGACACTCCTGTCTTTGCGCGGTCTTCGGTGGAGCTTGCGTGCGGTCCGCTCCTGAAGTGTGCGAAGCTTTGCGCAAGGAACCATTCCCCGAAGAGCACCTGTCTGAAGAATATTGCTCAGGAACGCAGAGGCCTTGACCGAGGCAGAGGACTCCCGTGTGAAGTTGGATGCGGCGCTTCCACCTACGGCTGACAGCCAGCGACAAATCGTTTCTTTCTTGTCGGCTGTAACCGCAGCCCTCGGGGGATGGAAACAGGCATTCAACGCACGGAAGGAGAAAGCCGAATTAGAGTTCGAGCAAGCAGCGGACAGTTTGAGGAGCAAGGTCGACGCGACTTTCGAAGCCATGGCTTTCAAAGGCCACCCCAGGGAACGAAGTGAAGATGGCCTTGAAAAATTTTGCCAAGGCTGAAGCAGCTTTGTCGTCGGTGAGTAGCAAGAGCTTGAAGCTGCGCGCGACCACAGACTTGAAAGAGCAAGCGAAGGTGCACATGTTGCGTGGGGCGCGCTAAGGCTAACGCTGTTTTTGGATCCAGCCATCAAGCAAGTGGGCAGCAAGGGAGATTCCTTGCGCCGCGCTTTGTCTGATATTTGGGCACAGCGTGGCGACAACGAAGGCGTGCTTTCTGCCCTTGGGGAGGATGTGGCGAAAGACATCGTAGAAACCATGAAGCCAAAGGGAGGGGAGGACAGCTCGCAGCCGAAGAAGAGGGCCAAGCGCGCAAATCCGGGAAAGCAGTGATGTCGAACAATTGAGAGCTCTGCGCGGCTGCCAGCCAGACCAATTTTGATCGGCAGACATTTTGCAGTTGCGGCTGTCAGCCAGAAAGTTTGCCTCGTGTTTGGCGGTTCACCCAGGCCCATGCCCATGCGCCCATGACAGGGAGCCGACGGAAGGAAAATGCAGCTTTACAGCCATGTAAACTGCAACCCATGGGCTATGCTATAGGCTATAGGCTAGCAGTGTGTCCCAGCGTATTCCACCAAAGCGTTCAGACAGATTCTCATTCAACTAAGATAGAGAGCAGTCGTAGTTGGAGATTTGAGCGGCCAGTCCGCTGAACGCCAGTATCAGCAACCGGACTGTTAACTCTGTCAGTGAGCCATGCGAAGTGTGTCTTTCTAAGAGGAGATGACCTTAAAGGGGCGGTGGGGAAGCCTACCAAGCAGATCGAACTTCCGCCAAGCTATGCAAAAAAGAAAACTGTAGAGAAGTAAAAGTTTCCAGAAATTCAGAAATCATACATTTTCAGGAAGTTTTCAGAAGTTTTCACCAAATAAATCCGACATTGTTCACAAAGCGTCCGGCTGCCAGCCAGAAGTGGAAAGTTTACACTTGCGTTGCAAAATTCGCCATGTAGCCCCGTTTTGGCTCTCATCTCGGCGCACCAAAGCAAAAACATAGCCCAGGCTACCCACATGCTGCTTTTCAAATGGAAACACCATCAGAACAGCAGATTCGGGGAGTGGCTGGTCGTGCTGGATGATGGGCGGCTACTCTTTCGGCGCATCACCCGCGGCAACAATGTTGCTTGGGACGGCCAGGGCCGCTTTGAGCGGCTGGACGGACCTGGACCTCCTCTTCATGCCTGACCCTGTGCGATCTGTCTTTGGTGAAAGTGTCTGGACTGACCAAGAGCGCCATCGGTCTGCTTGGCTCTTTGGCACAGCATCTATTCCAGAGCTGACCTTTGACAACTTGGAGCAGCAGATTGCTATGCCGCCAGGCCAGAAAGCACGTGCTTTGAGGGCGCGTTTGTTGGCTCCACCTCCGGCAGCGCCCCCAACAGCGCCAGGACAAGATGATGATGATGATGATGATGATGACGATGGGTATGTTTGGGTGTAGGCCGAGGGTTTACGCTATTGGAATCGGCCATTGCCTCGAAGCCCCTGCAATGCATCTTCTAGGGCCAGTTTACAAGCTGATGCTTTCGAAGCGCGTTGTTTGATTGGAATCAGGGCGCTTTGGGCAAAAGTGGCCTGAGTAGCAAGAGCATTACGGGCTTTCCGGCTGTCAAGCTGTTAGCCAGATTCCGTCGCGGCAAAGGCCAAGGCGCTCTGTGCGGCTGACAGCCAGCCAGGGCGAAGAGAACTGCGACCCGAAGGGAAAAGGTATCCTGTGTGGGCACCCGGGCTCTTTGCTGTCTCCAGCCCGTGCGCGCTTCACCATAGTGCGCTTTTGGGGCTAAGCGCCCAAACATAGTGAGCCGCTTGAATCTGTGAGGGTTCTGACTGAATGTTGAACTTGTTGAACGCGCTCCGGGCATGCAGCGCGCGCGGGGCAAGTCAATCTTCAGCAGCCTCAGCCTCAAGCATAGTATTATCTAGATTTGTATGGCGGCTTCTTCTAACCGGCTGACAGCCAGCTCAATTTCCGCCAATGATGTTAAAACAAGTAAAGTTCTATAGTTCTATTTTCATAAATTTCCGAACTTCCGCCAAACGATGTAAAAAAGTAAAGTTTTCAGAAATTCAGAAATTGTTAATTTCCGAGTTTCCGCCAAATGATGTAAAAAAGTAAAGTTTTTCAGACATTCGGAAATTGTTAATTTCCGACTTTACGCAAAACTATACATAAAATTGAAGTTTTTCAGTAATTCAGAAATTGTTAATTTCCGAATTTCCGCCAAACTATGTTAAAAAGATTTTTTTTAGAAATTCAGAAATTGTTAATTTCCGAATTTCCGCCAAATGATGTAAAAAAGTAAAGTTTTTCAGAAATTCGGAAATTGTTAATTTCCGACTTTCCGCCAAACTATACATAAAAGTATAGTTTTTCAGTAATTCAGAAATTGTTAATTTCCGAATTTCCGCCAAATGATGTGAAAAAGTAAAATTTGTCAGAAATTCAGAAATTGTCAATTTCCGAATTTCCGCCAAAAGTAAGATTTTTCAGAAACCCGAATTACCGACTTTCCGAATTTCCGCCAAAACGAATTTCCGACAAGCCTTGAAACCCTCTTACAGACTGTAGGTCTTGGATTCACCTAATATATACACACATATATCTGATTCAAATGTGGAAAATGGAGTCTGATTCTGTAAACGAAACCCTCAACATCCCTCAATAAAGCAAACTCGGACTCCGGGTTGACTGGCTTGAGTGAAGCGCACCCACGTTTAGGGGCCTTTGTTAAACATTATTGCTTACTGCTTCTTCTGGAAGCAACCTTGATTACTTTTGAATGGTCGGCCCGTAAAGAATCAAGATGTTCAAGGTCGAGGCTGAATTTGAAGGGGATGTACCCGCTCTTAAAAAAGGAACTCGGGATCGCCCGAGCCCCACCTGAGATGATAGGCTTCTTTCATCTTCTTTTTTTGCCGACGCCTTGATCTCTTTGGCTCAAGTCTGATCGTGGCATGCTGCCTGTTGAAAGTCTTGCACGTCATTCTTTCATTTCTATACTCCTGGCTATTGATCCATGTGTAATTGGGGAGGCCTTAATGAAGAAACTGGCAAGCCATGCACACATGTGGATCAAGATGATCCTGTCGTGTCCCATACTAACCAAGAAGAGGCACCTTTTAAGCATGACACACCCTCGTCTCTGTGGGGGCTTATGGTTTGGCAGTTGGCACGAAGTAGGACTCCAACTTCTGCCTCTCAGAACCAGAGCGATCACTCGCCATTGGGTGACATATTCTACATTCGCTTCTGCGAATGCGCAGGCAGGTGGTTTTTTTTGGGTGCCTATCCTGGTGGCCGTGTGATCCTAGTGATTCTCAAATGAGAACCAATGCAAAATAAAGTTGTACTTTACAACACTTTGGAGAAATCATGTTTGTAGCATTTTTGTTTTGCTTTTTCAAGAAGGAGTTCTTTTGCCTTTATTGAAAAAACAGCTTAATGGAAAATACACATAGATGATGATAGATTACAGTTTGGTGCAGCAACAATCATGATTGACGTGCAGCAAACTGTAGTCGACGAACCACAAAAAAGGCTGGTGAGAAAGGCCTTCTTGGAAGAAGCTTACCAAGCTGGCAAGGGTTTGTTGACTCCGAAACGGTAACAAGGACATCATGCTCCCAACCTGTTCTGTGAGTGCCTCCCTCTATTTGATGGTGCAACATACAGTCTAAACTCTTTTGTAAGCAGCTGTTGAAATATCGATGGTGCTTGTTCAAACTGCTGTAGGGTGCCAACCTACAGGTGTTGAAGCTGTTTGTAACATCCATGGTGTTTGTTCACGCTGCTGTAGCAACCTGCAGGCAATGCAGCTGCTTGAAATGTCGATGAGACTGCCGTAGGGTGCCAACCTACCGCTGTTGCAGCTGCTTGTAATGTCAATAGTGCTTGTTCAGACTGCTGTAGGGTGCCAACCTACACGTGTTGCAGCTGTTTGTAATGTCAATGGTGCTTGTTCAGACTGCTGTAGGGTGCCAACCTGCACGTGTTGCAGCTGTTCGTTATGTTCATGGTGCTTGTTCAGACTGCTGTGGGGTGCCAAACGTGTTGCAGCTGTTTGTGATGTAAATGGTGCTTGTTCAGACTGCTGTAGGGCGCCAACCTACACGTGGTGCAGTTGTTTGTAATGTCCATGGTGCTTGTTCAGACTGCTGTAGGGTGCCAACCTACAGGTGTTGTAGCTGCTTTGGAATGTCAATGGTTGGACTAAGTCGAAGTGCAACAATGAGAACCCACACCTGCTGGCTTTGGTTTTTTATGGAAGGTTCCTGGTAGACTCAGCACTCATGGGAGATAGTTCGTTTCTGTCGGAGGCCATGGACGCTCAAGATGATCCATCCTGGCCCATCCCAGAGGATGCCGCTCCAGAGGTGGCTGCGTGGGGTGTGGCGATCGCGTTGTTGGTGCGGCGCCGTGCATGTACACCATGCACTATGGACCATGGAGGTGTCACACTCTCAGACTTCACCATGTAGAGTAGGAGGTAACGATGAGGGGCAACTGCCAAGAGCTGCGACTTTCCCCACCTCGAACATCCCATTGACAAGATTTTCTGATGTGAGAGATGGCGACTTGCTCCCACTGCTGCAGGTGGCACCGCCGGAGATGTTACTTGGTTTGAGGTTGGTCGGAGGCTCGTGTGCGGGCTAAGAGCAGGGAAGAAAGAACGCAGCAAATGAGACTTGATTCCCTCCAATCAGGTCAAAGGACCCAAGCGCCAGGTTGCTCCCCTGCGAGGACATCAGAAGTCTCGGGCCAATGAGGCTTTCAATGGTAGTCCAGTTTCTTTCGTGTATTTTCCCGAAGGAGAACCAGCAGCTGACACAGCCCTTGGAATCCAACCGAAGAAGACAAGCTTCTGACGCCAACATGCGGTACAACCCGCACGCCAAAAGTTCCTCAGCGTTCTTTGGTCCGGCGAGAGTTTGAGCTCAGCATGTGGGTCATGAGTCAAGGCACGTGAAAAAAAACCAGAGGTGACTTCAGACTATGGCCTGATTGTGGCCACTCTTATTGGCTGTCTTTGGTCTGCATGTCCTGTCCTCTTGTGAGGTTTGCCCACATGTTCGAAGAAAGATTTTCAGCACCTTGGCTCGACTTGGAGGCTGGGCAAAGGGGCGAAGCAACCTTCACGACCCAAAACCGTTAGATGTAGTAGCGATGCCCTTGGTTAACCAGTAGCGTCCTTGCTCCTGGAAAATGGCCCCAGAACCTCGAAGGAAACCATCCAGACCCGGTGGACCCAACCAGCGGGCTCAACGCCGCTCTCAACAGCCGCCTGTCCCTGGTCTCAACAGCCGCCTGTCCGAAAAGGGCGTTCTTGTTCCTAGGAGCCCCGAACGTAGCGTCCTTGCTCCGTTCGTAGCGATGCCAGGAGCCCCGAACGTAGCGAACATAAGCAACAGGGCCTCCGAAAAGCCGCCGAGGATCTGCGACGTCGCCAGCTCTCGCAGGCCAATGGGGTGGGGAGTGTTTCACTGTGAGGCGGACGAAGAAGGCTATGGCTCCAAAGGAGAACTGCTGGGTCAAGGGCCGGCGATGACAGCCTTTTACCCTGTATCTCTCCTTGTCCAAATAGCAGGGATTGCGTTGAACCGACTGACTTCACCTTTGGCTGATTCTGGGACAGAAGGAGAGCCGCACACGAATCCACCATTTGGCCACTTCGTGTAGTGGAGATGAGGAAGAATAAAGATAGAAGAGCAAAGACCTCAAGAAGGTGGTACCACAATCGCGGGATTCATGGTCTTGGGATGTCTTGGGTAGGCCCCACACCAGGAAGCAGCAAGGATGGTAATCTTTGAAGTGATGACTTGACAATCCCAATGCCGCAAACGAGGCCTTCATGTTCCGATCAGCCCAAACCAGACATGTTCAGGTTTGAAGGTTTTGGAGCGCCTGTACCGCTTTCGGCGGACCGCCTGTTCAGACCTCTTGTTCGGTGGAACACCCCTGTCCTCGCACCAGGTGAGCCTATTGTCAGAACCGCCCACCAACTTGGCCCCGGGCACGCCCTTGGCCGTGGCGGTCTTTTTGGCCGCGTGGTGCGCCGTTTCGGCGATGTGGTCAGACGTGTGAGATCGCCACCGTGCAAAATCGAATCACTGACTGTGAGGACTGCAATCGGGTTGTGGTTGGGCAATGCCAAAAGGTCTCCGAAGAACTTAAGATATAAAATGATATAAAATGCCACCGGCTGGCAGCTTCGGGGCTGCTTACCTGCCTCTCAAATTATGACACAAAGGAATGTGCTGGCAACGTTTCACTGCCGAAGTGTGTCTCACACAGAAGAAGGGCCACTGCCGTGGAATTGTTCCCCCCTTTGTGAGGGGCTCTCCATCTGCGGGTCAGCCAATCTAGACTTTCGTTTGTACGGCATTGCAAAGCGCCTCTACCAGGACTTGTCTGCCAAGGCAAGGGGGGGAGGTACCAGAGGAACAAAGGAATGCAGCATACTGAGGTGGAGGTCTAAGAGTCTGCGGAATACGCCCCCGCCCCCCTCCTGGTAGCCTCTGATAAGGTTGTCAAGTAGAGAAACATCCTCTGTGATTGGCAATCTACAGCTTGCAGGCAATGCCACTCCGCCTTGTTCTTCTTACTTTGTCCTTTCCCCTCCTTATTGTCCTATGTTCCCTCCCATGTCCTAGTTTCCTGGAGTGCCCCCAAGGTTCGGTAGGTTCGGCAGCTTGTTCTTTTCAACCAAGCTCCCTCATTTTGGAATGGTAGGTACGTGGGCTACGTGCTGGTGGTCATGTCTCAGATGGGCAGCATCTCACATACAGCTCCAGCGGCCCCATTTGAGTTGGGCACCAGAGAGCTGGCAGACATACAGTGCTTTGGCTTTGCAGAAAGGGCAAGGACCTCACCTACCAGACTTGGCTTGTACCATGCTTGTCCGAAGATTTGTTCTAACTTGCAGTCGATCAGCCTCCAAGGGCTCAGCGGGTTGCACGTCAGCTGGTACATTGAGTAGTAGTAGTAGTAGTAGTAGTAGTAG